ATTTAATAATATAAAATATATCACATAATTAATTTTAAATTTTCGTCCCTATCATTACCTAAATAAATATTCACCCTTTCGGCCGTGTTACACGAAACATTTTGCAGATAAACAGTAATATAATAATTCCGATTTTTTCTGACGCACTCTGAAAAATTAATAATTAATTTACACAAGAATGAAGAATCTTTTGTAATTTTAATTTACGGGCTCCCTTCTGTTTTTGGGTGAATTTTTTTTACATTTTTGCTAATTAGTCGAAACAAAAATTTTTTTTTGCAGGCCCAAAAAAAATCGTAAAAAAATTTATTGTGAAAACGAAATCTCAGTGGGAGGGTGATTGTGACAGATGTTTTGTCGGATCTAACATCTAGTTTGAATCTTGTTTCTGTCTTGTGTGCTTCAGTGCCTAACATTTAAATTCTGAACTAGACTTAGTATGGAAGATAACACGTCTTTATTGTGATCCAACATTCCAACTTTGAGGTTATTAGAAGATTTTTGATTTTACGAAACTGATGAGTAGACATGATTCCTTGTCATTGTCCATCTGTTGGAATTAATGCTCCATTCAATCGGGTATTTTCTCTGTGTTTTTTTGAAAATAGGTAATGGGGGCATTTTCTCTACGTGAATTTTGAAAACATAAAAAAAGTATATATATATATATATATATTTTTTTTCGGTTCCTCGTCCGGTATTCGGGGTTTCGTCTTGATTACTTCGGATTCGACCAATTGTGGCGCACCAGAATGATAGGTGGGTCTCCCAACGAAAGCTGCTGCGTATATAAAGTTTCGAACTCGAGATCTTATTTAAGCTGGAACAAGTCATTTACCACTTGATCCAACCATTCGTCGATGAAAAAAGTATATATATATATATATATATATATACACATATATAGGAAATGTCCATGAGTTGGAATTAATTAATGCTCCATTCAATCGGGCATTTTCTCTGTGTTTTTTTGAAAATAGGTAATGGGGGCATTTTCTCTATGTGAACTTGAAAAACATGAAAAAAGTATATACACATATATACACGTATATATGAAAAAAATTAGAATGTCATAACATTAAATGTTAAGATATTTAATTACAATCATCCTCTAAATTTATCAAATTTATTATATAGTTATTATTAAATGTCTAACACTAAAAATGTGAC